GTGCAGGGGCTCTGTGAGGGATACAGGAATTATGGGGGCTCTGAGGGGTTTGGGGGTTGAGACTCCATAGCCCTCCTAGCTTTCAAAGACCTCTCAACCACCAAAATTAAATTTCTTGTGTAACACGTCAAGATGCCTCCCGCAGGGATTTTTGGGTGCAATGCCAGGGGTGCTTTCCTGCCCATATCCCCGTCCAGATGCCGTGTCCCCGTGCTGAAGCTGTGCCCCTGTCCCTGCAGAACGACTCCTGGGGCAAGCAGTACTCGTACGCCCTGTTCAAGGCCATGAGCCACATGCTGTGCATCGGCTACGGGCAGCAGGCGCCGGTGGGGATGTCGGACGTGTGGCTCACCATGCTCAGCATGATCGTGGGGGCCACCTGCTACGCCATGTTCATCGGCCACGCCACCGCCCTCATCCAGTCCCTGGACTCCTCGCGCCGCCAGTACCAGGAGAAGGTAAGGACAGCCCTGCTGGGGGGATGGGGTGGCCTCTGTGGTATCCAGAGGGAGGCCAGGGTGGTCTCTGTGCTTTTTGGGGGGAGCCTGGGGTGGTCTGTGTGCTGTATGGAGGGAGGATGGGGTGGTCTCTGTGCTGTCTGGAGCTGTCTGGGGGGAGGATGGGGTGGTCTCTGTGCTGTCTGGAGCTGTCTGGGGGGAGGATGGGGTGGTCTGTGTGCTGTCCAGAGTGAGGCCAGGGTGTTCTCTGTGCTGTCCAGAGTGAGCCCGAGGTGGTCTCTGTGATATCCAGAGTGAGCCCGAGGTGGTCTCTGTGATACCCAGAGCGAGCCTGGGGTGGTCTCTGTGATACCCAGAGCGAGCCCGGGGTGGTCTCTGTGATACCCAGAGCGAGCCTGGGGTGGTCTCTGTGATATCCAGAGTGAGCCAGGGTGGTCTCTGTGATATCCAGAGGGAGGCCAGGGTGGTCTCTGTGATATCCAAAGTGAGCCCGGGGTGGTCTCTGTGATACCCAGAGCGAGCCCGGGGTGGTCTCTGTGATATCCAGAGTGAGCCAGGGTGGTCTCTGTGATACCCAGAGCGAGCCCGGGGTGGTCTCTGTGATACCCAGAGCGAGCCCGGGGTGGTCTCTGTGATATCCAGAGTGAGCCCGGGGTGGTCTCTGTGATATCCAGAGTGAGGCCAGGGTGGTCTCTGTGATATCCAGAGGGAGCCCGGGGTGGTCTCTGTGATACCCAGAGCGAGCCCGGGGTGGTCTCTGTGATACCCAGAGTGAGCCAGGGTGGTCTCTGTGATATCCAGAGTGAGCCAGGGTGGTCTCTGTGATATCCAGAGGGAGGCCAGGGTGGTCTCTGTGATACCCAGAGTGAGCCCGGGGTGGTCTCTGTGCTGTCCAGAGTGAGCCCGGGGTGGTTGCCTTGCTGTGGAGCAAGCCAGGACTGTCAGTGTGAGAGGCCAGGGAGCTGCTCCTTGGCCACTCATCCCCATCCATGCACTCCAGCACCCTCAGGAAGAAACAGCAGCAGCATCAATTAACAGCAGGGCAAGGAGATGATTGTTGTTGTCTCTGCCTGTCTGTGTACACCAACGTTATCGATGTCACCGGTACCTAAAATTTCAAGTCACTTCTTCCTTTCCCACACCTTGTTTCAAACCCCAAGTGAATGTTCCAGAATGTGCAGCTTTTGTTTAGCAAGTGCTCTCTGTAAAAGTATCCAGATTATTCACTCCAGTGCTCCTGAGTGGAGCTGCAGAACAAGCCCCAAAGCCCAGATCAGGGCTCGGGAGCTCGGAGCAGGTTCCCCAGTTAGCTGTGGAATTAATGGCACCATTGTGGGATTGCAGAATGGAGGGCACAGCCAGAAATGTCACATCTGATTGGGCTGCCACTGCCACAGTCACTGAATCTGTGAGCTGGGCAGGGCATCCAAAAAATGCAGCTGCCCTCAGTTAGTGGGGCTGGGGAGGCTTTATGGCCAGGGTCTTGTGGGTACATTTGCTCTGGAGACTAAGAGGAATTGTTCTATTCTGACTCTGCCAGGTGCAGTTTAGGTGAGAGGGGAGCTGTGATTCAAGTGGAGAAACTGTGACCAGCAGGCACTGATAGGTGAATTTTAAGTTCAGGGAGGGGGTGGGATGACCTTGGAACAGGTTTGAGACACAGGAATTCTAGTGGGAGGAGAGCAGGGCAGAGAGGGGGAGCGAAGAAGAGCAGAGGTTTGACTCATGCTTGGAGCATAGGGAAGATCCCAAACCACAGCTAGAGTTAAAGGAGGGGGAATGCCCAGGAGAAGAGTGTGGAGGCCTGGCATGCATCCAGAGCATCCAGAGTTTTAGCTCTGTGTCACAGCTGAGCCAGGCTGATCCCCACTGAGAGCAGGGCACGCCAAAGAGAAGGACACTGCAGCACTGGGAATGCAGGCTGATCAGATCTCAGGATGCAGAGTATTTATTCAAATGTGTTTGAAGTAGCACAGAAGTCAAGGACTGATCTGCAAAGCCAACCACCTGGCCAGCCTGGCACAGCCAGGGCTGCACCTGCAGCACTGGGCACTCCGGGCTCTGGCTCCAGCCTGCGCTCAGACAAGGGCACAGCTTCACCCTGGCACTGCCCAGGCAGTGCCCAGGAAATCAGTGCCCAGGAAAGCAGCAGGGTCTGTGGAGGGGGTGGCAGGGACAGTGGGAAGTGTGAAAGCCTCGTTAGAACACGGGGATGTGAGCGAGAGGGTTAAAAGACCCAGGAGAAGAGCTCTGACAAAGGCATCAGGGGGAGGATTGAACCAAGGCTGTATTTCCTATGGCAGGCTCATTTCCCAAGTTATCTTCTGAGGATCAAAGCCTCAGGGATTGAATACGTTCATTTTCCTAGTGATGGCCTAAAAACAAATATGTATTTACTTTCTGCATTCCTTAGCACTTGAATAGCCATGATTAAAATGAGGCTGCTGCGTGATTTGCAGCCCTGCAACTCAATTTAGTTCAGTCCTCCTGGGACAAAGTGTCTGCTGAAGCAGATTAGAGTGAGAATCTCAACAAGTTTGGAGGTTGATTGGTAGAAGGCAGCAGCAATTGAGAGACCTCTGCTGAGCACCCTGTGGGCTCTGCCTGTCCCTCAGCACAGCTCAGCCTGAGGGGCCTCGGGAGCTGTGCTGGGAGTGGCCGAGGAAAGGAGGAACACCGTGGAGAGGGAGAGGAGAGGAGGTTACAGCTGGAACTGCCCTCGGGGCTCTGCTGCGTGGGACCCTCAGGACAAGGTTCAGGAGCAGGTTTTTGGGGAGGTTTCAGACTGTCCAGACCTCTGCCACCCCACTGGTTCTTCCCTTGGACAAGCAGGGCTTTGGAACAGAGGAATAAAAGCCAAGCTGTGCTGTCTGTTGGCTTCAGGAGCAGGCTTGTCTCTCTCTGCCTTGGATTCTCTGAACACTGGGACATCCAATCCCTGTCCTGGCAGAATCTCCTCCTGGAGCTTCTCCCTTCATGCTGTGCTGGTTGTGCAAGGCGGGGAAGCTGGGTGGATCCATGGGGTGGCAGGAGCCATGGAATTCAGAGGGATGGCCCCCTCCAGGCCAGGGAGGTGCTGAGGTTCCTGAGTACCAGGGCACAGTCCCTGTGGCTCAGAGCCCTCCCAGCACAGGGAGGGGGCACAGCCATGGGGCAGGGCCAGGCCTGGCCTCCCTCTGAACGGGGCTCTCTGAAGGGACTGTTTGACCTCCAGCCCCAGAGGCAAAGTGAGAAGGGACCTGTCTGTCCCAGCAGTTTTCCATGGCCACAGGGTCAGCAGCAGGATCAGGAGCTGCTCTTCCCTCTTAACCTCAGCTTGGAGTTTAACTCCACAGTATCCTGGCATCTGTTTCCTGCACGTGAGACGCCACCACCACAGGTCCTTCCTGAGGGATTCTGACAGAAAATGTCCCCAAGTGCTGTTGTGCAGTGTGGTGTTGCACCTGAATGGATGTGACAGCTCTGACTGAGAACTGAGCCCGTTCTCACCCAGAGCTCCCTGCCACTGTGCTCAGCTGGGCACAGGGAGCCTTCCTGGCTTCCCAGACCCTCACTGAGCTCATTTCTTCTCCCACATTAGTTTTCTGTCACATCAGTAGGTTGAAAGAGCTTATTTTTGAGCCCAGTGAGTGCCAGAGCTGGTGCAGGAGCTGGTGGAGGGGGTCAAGGACAGGAGCAGGGGTACAAGACCCTCTGCATCTGTTCATGGATGAGCTCCAGCCTTTCCTTCATCGCTGGTTGCAGAATCCCCCAGGCTGTGTAACTGTGGCTCACATCAGAGGAAAACTGTTCCTTGCCCAGGAGAGGAATAAACTAGCCAGATATGGCTGTTCTTTTCATGCTTTTTGAAGGTTCTATTAATTTCTTTCCCTAATCCTGCAGCTCAGCTGGATTAGTATTTCTGTCAAGTCACCACGCTCACCCTCTCCTCCCCAGTGCTCTGTAACCTTGAGGCTGGGGAGGGTGATGGTGCTGCTCTCTGCAGCTCCTGGGAGCAGGGCAGGGACAGTCAGCCCCCATTGTGAGAAGTGATCCTCACTTCCACAAATTTAAAAGGTTTATTAAAACCTTACCAAAATTACAACAGATGACTGAATAGGGAACATATTACAGCACCAGGAGCAGAGGATCTTTCCCACCATGTGCTCATCCTTTTAACCCTTCAGCCCTCCCGAAGTTCTGTCCATTGACTCCTTCTTTGCTGCCCAGTGGTGGAGATCACTTCTGACACCTTGATTGGAGGTCAGCTGCTGCCACAGCAATGAGTGACCCTCCCAAATGTCCCAAACCCAGCCACCCCTGATAACAACACAATGGGGGGTGAAACTCAACTATAAATGTATAAACCTTCTCTTAACATATATATGATATTTGCCTTTTCGTTGTGAGAGTCCACCATCACATTACCCATCTATCCCAGTCGGGGTCACTGTCCCTTCCCAGCATGTGCAGGGAGGCTCAGCTCCCCAGGTACACCCAGAGCAGGCCCTGCAGTGATGCCTTGGAAAGGCTGACCTAGAACAGACCTAGACTGAGCTACAGGGTAAAGTAGGGATTTATTGAGAAGCCTCAATAGATCCACCTTGGGCAGCACAACCCAAAATGGTCACCACAAAATGGACAACCGGTCACAGGGTCTCACACTTTGATAAGTTTTGGCCCATTTGCATATTGGAGTTAATTGTCCAATTCCAGCTCTAGCCCATGCAGTCCCATCCTGCTTGTTTTCTCTCTTTGGTCCGTGCTGTTTGTGCTCTTGGGGCTGAGATTTGGATCATTGGTCCTTGGTCCCAGCCAGAGCAGGAATTGTTTTGTCTCCCTGCTCTGTGCAGAGAGCTCACCAACCCCTGACATGAATCCCAGACCCTCACACTAAGGCAGAACAGAATGTGAAAATACAAAAGCCAAAGCTGAGGCATCACTGAGAGGCAGGGCTTGCTGCTGTCAGCACTGCAGAGCCCAGTAAAGCCCTGATCTCTCCTTCCAGAGCCTCATGTCCC